AGAAAAATGAAATTCACCCTTTTTTGTCGCTATGCCATAGAGTTTACGTTGTATAATACACCGTGGTATCACTTCCCCCCCCCCGCGTGACCTTACGCTGACAACGTCACTGGGCGTGAAAACTTTCCTCCGCAGTGACTATCCTCCCGCTGGCGTGAAACTTTCCATTTGTCAGCACCACCCTCCCCCGTTCRTACCCCTATCGGTGTTGCTACTCCAGTAACACCCTCGCAAACGCTTGGCGTGAACCGGCTTTAGACGAAATACAAATAAATAGAATTTTGTGTCAAGCTGCAGTAAAAACTTCATCCGCCGAATAAATTCTATCAAATCCTGAACGCGCATCATATGTAGGTTCGCGTAATGTTTGTCTAGTTAGTGTTCGTTTGTTGTTATTGTCATCGCTGTATTTTTGTTTTTGTTTTTGTTTTTTTTGTTTTTATTTATCACCACTTGTGCGTGACTATCGGTGGTTGTAGACCAGTAATTTGCTAGTTGGAGGCTATAGAGACCTCCTAAACAACACACAATGTATATAACGGGCGACCCAGAGGGTTTAATTAAAACCGAATATGTACCAAATGGCGGGCGTGAACGTGTCGGCTACTGTGGGAGAGATGTAATGAAGTTAATTAAAAACACCAACTATATACTTCCCCCAGCCTCCCTCGAGTGTATATGCAGTGCGTACGTATTTGCTGAATTATATAAACTCTGACCAATCGATTTAAAAATAAAATGATAGGAAAAAAAGTTGGATATTTTTTTCGTTTTTGTRAAATTTGTCAAAAATATGGAGCATATTGTATAAATTATTATAATAACGACCCTCGACGGTAGGCACCCATTGCACAAAAATAATGGTTAGAAACACTTTTTGACACTTGGCCTCGTTTAGGGACGTCCTTCGCCCCACGCGACTCACACTAATCGATTTTCGCTGATGGAATATTTAACGATAATTACTTTGTCTAAAACTCTGTGTGTGTGTACTGTGTACTCTACTTTGACCTGTCACAAACTGTTGTTGTTCTCGCGATATGATGTTTCACAGATAACCAGGTTGAATAATAGAATGTAGCTATATATATTATATATATACCGTATTATATTGTATAGTATTGCTATCAGATAAATTTTGTATTTTCCATGTTTTGCGTTTTCGATATTTCGCRTAGTATATTACATTTTGAACAGTATAATGCCATATTAATAATAATTCGCTCTCTTGTGACGTTTCCGGGCGTGCATTATTTCCGCTGAAATTTAATATTTTATCAAACTATATATTATCGTTTATCAGATATTATACGCAGTGCAAAACACCAAACGACAATAAACTTAAAAGTTATAATATTATAACGGGTGATTTTGATCGACGGCACTGTCACTCAGGAAGTATACAACCGTATGACAAATAAGTAATTGCAATTTACCTGCAGTTTATATAACATCAGTCGAGGTTACAAGCTCTTACAAGTCACTTGTCGCAACGTTTGCACATTTTACAAGGCTTTAAATATGAAATCCTCCCCAATATTTGTAGTGTACAAGTATCTATAGGTATATCGAATTAAAAATGTTTTCCATATGAGAGCAGACTTTGRCCGATCGTCGTATGAGCTATATAAGATATATACGTACATACTACCAATAATCAATATATATAATGTACGATCGACCATAGAAGAATGTCACAGATTATGGATTTTTCGTAGTTGCAATTATTTTTGGAAYCGTGGCCGCGTTGAAAGATCATTAATAATCGCTTTCGAATTCCCATTTCCCTCGATTTTCTACCTTTATATATGCATACKTCTGAAATACTCCATCACTAGCGTTCAGCTCGCTTATTWCTATATGCGTCCATCCATCRAAATCGTGTGAGAAACTATTAAAATATTATATTGGCAGTTGACTATTTTCTATATTATATTATATGTTATGTTTTATAAACGGGGTCGTAATCGCACGTGACGTATATACTAGGTATAAACACTGTCATAATATAATGACGTGTGTTTCCTTGCACAGTTGTACCCCGTAATCATATACGTATAGTGTATAATAATAATAATAATAATAATAATAATATGTGTATACCTGGCCCTGCGTCCCTGCATACGTATTATCACCCGTACATGTGTATAGTATTATTGTACATATTGTTGTCTTGTCGTATTACCATACACGCGTGGACGACAATATAATGAACGGACAAAATGCAATTCTTTATCACGCGGTACTCCGACATGACACACTCCAACTACCGTCGGCGAAGCRTGGGTGGCGGTGGCGTGCGGGTCGGGCCTAATGTAAAGCATTTATCGACCCGTCTTCGCATACCGTGAACAACTGCGGCCTTCGCCGCTACACGAATATAATTTGATTCTGTTTTTAAGGCCAGCGGACGTGAGCATTGTCTCAACATAAGTATGATGTTATATTTATAGGTGTATGTTGTTTATTAAATTGTTTCGGATGTACACATATAGCTAGGTACTGTACACGCGCAAATTATAAGACGAACCATCTCACTCACTCACGATCGTCGAACAACGCCACCGCGTACACAATCGAATCCTGCTGACTAGCGATATTATAAGGTCGGTCGTGTTGTAATAACGGTTGAAACAACGACGATGTCTAGTATAATGTCTCTATTGTTTCTACTAACCCTGAATTCGGAACGATTTTGTGATCTTAACGATAATCGTTATTTCGTTATGCATTTTAACACTGTATATGTATATTAGAAGCAYGTTCAATAGGTATATTATGTATATTATTAGCCTACTGTCCTGACCTATATGATATAATATTATTGTGCTGTTAGAAGGTGCCTACTATACGTGCACATTTTACCCGAATCAAACTAAGCGTGAATTTTTTATTTTTTAATAGAATAAATAAATATATAATAGAATATGATGAGTATATAGTCTCACAGGTATATAAATAAGGTATTTTTTAAATATTTAACTTTTCCGTATAATAATAATTTATAACACAAAGGATTTTATTTCTTCGGTTAAAAAAATATTTAATGGTACCAAGGTACCTAATTATTATTATATCAAACTGTGAATAAAAGATTAGTTAAATTAAAAATATTAAAAACGTTTAAGCAATTAAAGAACTTTAAGTTCAATGGAAAATTTAAAAATCCAAAACTCATACTATCGGCAGTGTACTTTTTAACATAAATGCAAATCTGAATTTATTTATTCTGTTTAAGCTATCGATAAATTTATAAAATAAATTGGGCTACYTATACCTACAAAATAATGAATTGAAAATTTCAAACAAAGATTTATATAATTAATTTTTTTTTCTCGTTCAAAATATTTTGTTATTTTCTATTTTCGGATCTTTTTGTCACTGTTATCAATTTATTTTATGAAATTTTTTTTTGATGTGCTAATATTTTGTCGATAAAAAACATTACAGGTAAATAAATGTACCAGTACTTCGGGAATGCTCTTATATCCATCATGTTATCAGCATTTTTCAGAGACCCAATGTAATAATATAAGTTGCTTGTTATTTATTTACAGAATTAATTTTGTGAATAAATTCCTTATGGCTCATACGCTGTCTAATTTTTTTAATTTTTTCTTTTTCTTTAATAATTAAAAAAAAAAAACCTAATTTAATTTAGAAATAATAATATTTTGACCGCGCTGCAAATTTTCTAGGGTCTTTCTTCAACACCCTGAACACCGGACACCAATATGCACAAAAAGCCACCTGTTGTGCGTGCTTTTGACGTCGCACAATTCGAAATAATAGCCTTTTTCACCTCCGTCGAGTTCGCACACAATACAAAGGTCCAGCATTTACCTTCTATCACCCGCTCTCGTTTATTTCGTATATTTTGTTTTTTCGTTTTTTGTTTTTATCCGTGCGTATAAACTTGGTGGCTAATTCGACGGGATCCGGCGATAAATCAAAAAGCCACCGGTTGAAAAGCGTTTTGTTTTTTTCCCTATGCTAGTCCCTCTTTTAAACACAGACCCTGGGACCTTTTACAAATTTCCGTTTATTAACTCTGAACCCCGCGCGTTTACGATGCACACACGCCTGTGCATATATATATGTATAGTTTATGTATGATAGTTCGTTCGATATTGATCTCTGTGAATTAGTAGTTCATTGTCCAACCTCTAGAAAAAAAGGCGGCTCCCACCGAATCCCACGCGTGATATACGACCTGCCATATATAGTGCCATATAATAAATAAACGCATTTTTTTGGGGTAACCCATGCTTACAGAACTTCAAAGTTTAAGTTATTTGGACGTAGATGCCTTTTTTCCGCCGAAGACCCAACAATAACGTTTTATCCCGCACCCTGCTCACTGTCTCCCAAAAATACAGATTTAATCGAAATTGTGGGATCTATATGTATGTTTACCCATATTACTATCATATACCTAATAATGAAAGGTATTCGCTCGTGAGTGCGTTTATATATCTGCAAGTATATAATTACCTTTATACAATATATATATATATATATATTTATATTACATACATACGAAGGTCACGCGATTACCGTTAGGGATCAATTTACACGGTGAACACTATACCATAACCACGGTTCTATTGCTGTCATAGGTTATTTTGTGCCCTGCGGACGTGCAGTTTTTACTTGTGTGTTTAAGGAATATATAATATAATAGTGAAAAGCCATAGCCTAATGCGTCAGTTAATGACGCGACGTCRGTGCGGTGAACGTGTAATTGATATTCATTGCTTTGGGAACCATTAGCCGAGCAAAACAGCTAAATGGTGTTGATGCGGGGGTAGTCCCTGCAGGGAGAATGGTGTTATGGTTAGGGTAGAAGAGACGCATAGTCTGATTAGAATACACGTTGTAAACAAACATATATATATATAGGTATAATATAATGATTCGCTTCGCATGTAATAATATTATAACATCACATAGTCTACATATACGGTACTAATATCGTTTTTTTTCTTTATATATTTTAGGTGCAAAAAACCAGGCAGGTATTTGGACAACTTACCCCAGACATCTGTGATCGTGTGTTTTCACAACGAAGCATGGTCAGTTTTGCTACGAACCGTACATTCCATACTGGATAGATCGCCGGAGCATCTTATTCGGGAAATCATTCTAGTCGACGACTTTTCTGATATGCGTGAGTYACAATATTAATATTTTATCGTATATAACAAGCCACGTGGTATTGTAATAGTATTTTTATTCAAACAAATTACGCGTATTTATACCAATGTGGCGATAAGACGACGGTAGTACCTAAATGATATTATAATAATAGCGTACCTACATAGTAATATTCCGCCAAAGTTATTATTATTTCAAGATTATAAACTAGTTAGGTAGTTATATTGTTTTATGTTGTGAATTATTTCGCAAAAAAAAAATAATAGACAAATAAAAAATATCCAAAACTAATTTCGCTGTTTACGTGAGTACAATAGCCTAAACATGACCTATAACTATATGCTGAACACGAACATAATATTATGTTGTATATATAGATAAATTCCTTTTGGATTATTTCGTATCGAACTGCCGTGCTTCAAGGGTATAAGAACAAATATTATGTATACGCAACAGCAGTGACTCGCGATTCATTTTAATTTAAAAATAAAAAATAACGCGTATAAATCATAAAGATTAAAAAACCAACATTTTAAAGTTTTTGCATAGTTCAGGAACATTAATTCCGTATAGTATTTTTAATTTATTGCAATCGTTAAAAAATGAAAGTAAAGCTGATATAGTTTTAATTAAATACATTCAATTTATTACTTATTTTTTTCATGTCCGACTAAATTTCGCATTAAATATGTCTATGGACATATTATCTATAAACTTTCAAAATTAGGTCAAAGTATTATATAGCATATAATCGTTTAGTTCAGCGTATGTCGTATATATTATGTATACTGTATACATACATGCCATTTTCGACTTCTWCGTCAGAACATACATTTTCAACCATGAAAAGATTTAAAAAACTATTTATGCAACTCATCAGGCCAAGAACGACTTACAGGTTTAGCTTTTTTAAGTGTTCATAGGCAAATTCATATCGATCCGGATGAAGTTATTGATCGTTTCGCCAAATAAAAAAACCGACATAGATTTTGTGCTATAAAATATTTTTTAAATTAATAATTTAATAACCCAACCCCCCTCCCCCCCGAAATTTTTTTCCAGCTACAGCCCTGTGTATACATAAATATGGTATGCCCACGTTGTAAAAATTGTTTTCTTAGTATATTTTTATAACGGATTTAAATAGGTTGTAGAAACGTTTCTACCCCTTCCKCCAACTTTGAAGTGTTAAGGGTTTTTTTCCACCCTAATAATTAACGTGAATTTGCGTGACCTGTTTCGAAATCGTACACCTAAAAACCAAAGTGCCAGGCGCTATGCCTCCCTTTAACCCATTTTGCTGGCCCCTCCCAAACGATAAATGCTACCATGGGTCATGTTATAACAGTTTTGCTCAAATGTTATCCAACAATTGAAGAATTTTCAAAATGTTCTTCCAACCTTTGCATTAAAACATCGAATCGTTAAGTGATGTGTTTAACATATCAGGCTGGACATAAACAAAACTTAAGTGGCTTACAGAAGTTCATCAAAGAACGCACCAGTGTACAGTATTTGAAATGTAGTGAGAATTGTGATGGTATAAAAAACTGTACATTCAAAAATATTAACCCACCATTTATTTATTGATGTCTTGTTGTGGGATGGTWAATATGAAGGTACATGTGTACATTTTATTTTAATCCAATTATATACAATACAATATAATATTTACAATTGTGTTAAGTTATTTTATTAAAAATAAAAACTGTTTGAAAATTATTGTTTTTCTTAAAGGTTCTGATTTGAAAACTATTTCATAGTTGATATTTTTGAATTGAAAAATGTTAAAGTTTATTTTATAACAAAYATTTTGACGTGAGTATATTATGAAATGAGTGTKGGCGATGGATGCCATCAATCACTACATTAATTAGACAATTAGAGTTTGGTTGTTAGATAAATTTGTAAAACTCATAATATTTTATACCCAGTTAAAAATATGTATTAATCACTAATAATCTTTTTTTAAGTGTGGAAAAGTATTCATGATTACAATTTAAAAATTAAACATGACATTGACTTAACGAAGATGATACTATAGAGTATCATAATCAATATAAAATATTAAGAATTCACTTTTGCACGTTAACGTATCATAACAATAMTATATATAGGTAATAAAGAGGATTTGCATGATGCCAGGGGCTTGGTTGTAAATAGGTCATGCAAATTCACACTAATTAAAAATATACCTATAATAATTTAGTACATTTATACAGACTAATTTTATGAATTGTCGTTCTCGTATTTTGTAYAATGATTAAATATTATCTTAGGCAACAAACATACAAGTTGAGTTCAAAATAAGGATTTTTTGTGAGGTGTTGTTGATCACCACGATGTTGTGCACTATAAAAGAGTAACAAAATGGGTAAAAAGGGGGCATAGCGCCTGGTACTATGGTCTTTGGGSGTACGATTTCGAAACAGGTCACGCAAATTCACGCTAATTATTAGGGTGTAAAAACCTCTTAACACTTAAAAGTTGGTTGCGGGGGGGATTTAGAAACGTTTCTACAACCTCCCTACCCTATTTTTACTTTTGAATTTGATTTGGTGCCAAGCAAATTTCAAAATTAGCCGCGCCAATTCAAGCTAATTGTATACGCTATATATTTAACCAAAAAATGAAATGGGGGGGGGGTCTGGTGTAACGTACCTAATATAATTATTATTAAAATATATTTTATTTATTTGTAAGTATACGGGATAAGCCCCGGTAAGGGTTGTACATTGCACGTTAGGCTTACCATAATTTAGAAAATTCTGTGACGTAAATTATTATGTTTCGCGATGTTGATAATTAAATTGGTCTTTTGATAAATTCTTCTAATTTTTTTTGTTTTTATAACGCTGTTAAGGTGTTACGTGTACGCGTAAAAACATGTTTTTAATTAGTTCTTCACAAAGGCGTATGTGTCTTAGGGTTTAYGTTATTATTTTTTGTTCTAACGATTTTTTTCCATCCTGCTGTGTTCATCTTTGAGCAAGCGTGACCCCAATCCTCAAGTCCCGTTCCTTCGGTCCTCTGAAATTACGTATGCGTTTGGCGAGTTATTTTCGCGCTATATACGCATTAACCTCTCCACCTCCGCAAACTGCGCATTGGCAAACTAATATATTAATACAGACTTGGCGTTTCGCCGATGCGATGAAAACCGAAAACCCGTCCTTCGGCGGTAGACAGCCGTGCGTGTTTAGAGTGTTAAATAATGATATTATAATATTAATATTATTATTATTATTATTATTATTATTATTATTATTATGACACTGCGTAAGACGGCGCCTAGTGTAGGCAATTGCAGTGCACTCGCGTATTCACCGCAGGAATACTACATACCTATAATACACATACTATATTACCAACTATTATGTTATATCCATTTACACGGACGATTATTATCTTTACCATCTAGGTGCATCGGTGTATGCCACGGTCAATGCAACGACGTGCTCGTGTGATGATGATGATAATAATATGAAAGGTTAAGATCGTAATGCGCATTGCGATAAAACTGCATTCTGCACTGCAGCGATATTCCGTCATTCGACCTCGGCGATTTCGAAATGCAATTTTCAATGTACATTTTGCACATTCATTATTTTTATTATGATACACTGCAGATGTATTGTAGACGGATTTAGCTTGTTATTTCTTTTAGAAATTATTATTTTATTTTTTCGTACGCGTATAGAACGGGGTTACGCGGGCGCTATTTGGCTATCAATCTATCGATTCTATCGTTTCCTTCTCTATTGCTGTTTAAGAACGGTCCCGTGATTTTAACGTTCGACTACGATATCGCGCATTTGTTTTATCGATGTTGAGCATCCCGTTTTATTTCGCTCGTCGCATCGCGTAATCGGCAATTGACTACGTACCTGTAGTGTTTATATCTATTATTCCACAGATAAATGCGAGTTTAAAAACGACCGAATATATTGAAAACTGTGAAGTGAATCGCAATTGAAGCTATAGCGTATTATAGATAAAACGTCGTTAATTTCCTCAGTAGTGTTCTTAAAACCAACAGGACAGGCAATAATATAATATGGCTACATAAACCGTAAGCACTTTTCGTTTGTCTTTACTGCCCGTTCTTAAACTTTAGATATGTACAATATAATTCTGTACTTTACTTTGTTGAAGGTCCCGCAACGGTATTCGATTTTTACAGAAATAAATAAAAATAGGTAAAAAGTAGTACAGGTTTCTATAACGATGACGACGGCTACAAATAATAATAATGGTCGTGGTCGTTTTTCAACATTTGCCGACCATTAAAATATTGACTGATCGATATATCGGAAACGATATTGAATATTATGAGTATCTAGGGTRGTGGTGAGGAGCGAAGGCCTTTGCAAGTTCTATGTTGTTTTTTTTTCGTTCCCTAAACAGCTAGTCGATACATGATATTTATGTACAATATATTTTATATACCTGCTGTATAGTGTGTAACTATGTACGAAAAAATGGACATTATTATATTTCCAACCTAACCTAACGTGGAAATCTATGCAATATATATACAGAGTTATTATCTTGCCGTTCTTGTCCACATAGATATTTTTTTTTTTACCAATAAACATGTTTGAAAAACAATGTTAGAAGATAAATACTGTATTTGTGAGCCATCATGCCATTATTATCATAAATCATAATAATGTTTGCTTTACTCAAAGTAAAAAAATAAATAAATAATTGTTTCATAAACTTTGGGATACCTGATTTATAGAGCTAATATGTGTAAATATTTTATAAGTTGAATTGTTAATTTCTATTAACTATTCAAATACGATTGGGGAAGTATATTATATAAAGTTTATATACATATATATTATATATATATATTGAAAATACGCGTTGATACGCAGTCATATAATATATACATATAAATAACGTTAAGGTTAAAACCAAATAAAACAATTTTCTGTCATTAAGCATATCTCTATTAAACAAATATTATTTTTATTGTATTATTATAGCTGCGTATAAGTTAATTTTCTCATCGGTCACTTACACATCCGATATTCGTTTTCATATACCGAAGTTCGTCTTGGTGTATCTAGTTATCATTTAATTTTTCTGCGTGTAAACTTAGGTATTGAAGCTCATTTTGACTTTATTGTTATAAATCCAACCTAAGTTATTGTAATCCATATATTTAATATGCAATAATAATAATAAATAATACCCACGTTGAAACGACCAAATATGGGTACCACGACTGGTGGCACTGTCAATTACATGCTTTTGTGTATACATATATATCGTACTAACCTAACCGACGGTGACGGGCGTAGAGGTTCACACCGACATCCTATAAATTTGGCCTTTAGATTTTCACTCGACGATCTCAGACGGACACGTCCGCTTCCGGTCATTAAAAGGCTTTCGACCCAATTAATCCCGGGCCGCTGCCGCCGTTGCCGGATACGTCTTATCCAAGGGAAAATTTCCAAGAGAGAGGAAACGCCAAACATAAATCTGACCTTTGGACTAACTTAATGGGGGGTAACGCGTTCCGGAGTATGAGTGAGCTATGAACCRCCATCCCGTGCTGAGCTGGTGGTTGGGTGGTAGAATAGTGGAGGATCAAACGCATAATATCCTATAGCATGGATTTGGTCCCATAGCAATGTATRGTAGTGAGAGGTCATCCAATGGCGATTTGCTTCTCGTCATCACCACGCAGCCTTAACTCTGCAATTTGTCACGCTACATGACCAATTCGATATCCCAACGATGTCATAATAATTATATATATATATATAATATAATATTATATAATGTGCTAGAGACCGTGCGATCAAAATATCAATCTCCGGTGGTCGGCTATATCTATTATTTATAGTTTGCCTAATCGAATATTATATAATATACCTACATTTCATTTTACCGACTGAGGATATGCACGAAATATTATTACAATGTAATTACATTAATATATGTTTTGAGCGGTTCCTCTCCGCACTTTGACGAATCAACGTGTTATTGATTTATCATTTTTATCAAACAAAATCGATCAAATACTTGAAAAAAAAAACTAATAATTTAATATGATTTATAATATGTAATTACATAGTAAAGTACTATATTGATGTTTAAAAAAGACTGTCAAATAATAAACAACGAGGTATGGAAAAAATGCACCAATGTAAAAAGTTGGATTTAAACTTTAAAGATTTATCGAAAACAGAATTCGAACTCGCTAATTATTATTTGTGTTGATCAAATATATAGTAGGTCGTTTGAAAGAAAATGAATTAAAATTTAACGAATTTATATACCCACACAAACAATGTTAATCGGCTGATTGCTACGTACACACTTKCACGTCCACGTCTATTGTTTACGGGTTTGTAAAACATCACTTTGCATTGTTAACACTTAATATATCATGTCCCTTGTGCTAAAGATGTTTTTGCTCACACGACTGTTTGTATATTACTGTTGATTTATAGCCTTGTCGTGATTGCTAAGCATCGCAATCAATGTACCTGAACAATGCTGCAATCGCAGTGTTTCGTTACCAGACGCATTTTTCACCAATCGAACATGGGCATTTAACATTTGCGGTATAATTAGTAGTGAACCGATTCCACCTACCTATGTCCTATAAATTTTATATTTGTATGTAGTGTATAATACAGACACTCGTCGTCCTTTCACTATAAATAATGCAATACAACCCACCAACATTTTAATAGTGACATTTTTTTTTCGTTACAATATAGCACTGTGCCACGATTGTATAATGTGTACGTATATGTAATAATATATTGTTAATACATTATTTGCGTTGTATAATATTTAATATTATATTATACTTGTTCACCTCTTTTTGAATTAATTTTATAAACGATATTGCATAATATATACATACTAAATRTTATTGTATCTGAAATTTGGAAAATAAAAATATAATTATTGTAGTTGGAATATTTATTCCTCGATTTAATCCTTAGATTTTCCAGATCCTATACAGATTTCTTTCCATCAAATATTTTAACCAATTACAAAGTCTATGAAAGAGACTATAATATATGCTCTTAGGTCAAGTCCATTGTTTATCGTCTAGAACGACGGTTTGTTTGTATGCGTTTGATAGTTGTATTTGAAACGTCATGGGTACCATTATAGATTTTCGTTACGTCCTATTCTATTTTGATATATTATAATACCAATACCTAATAAACAGTATAGACAACACGTCCGATATTCACTTTTAGATATTGTGTATAGTTAACCCCGCGTGTTTTCCAAAATAGATATTATTGTGTTTAGAATATTGATRGGGAATTTCGTGTTGGCGATTACTGCGCACGTCTGTTTAATTAGTTTCATATTTGAAATAATTAATGTACACACGTTGAGATGAATTACTCAATTACGCGTCAGAGCATTTCCACCGGCTATTGAATAACGTGGCTTGTTTGACGTACATATACACACGGCGCTGATGAAATCATGGCCGTCAGTCGTTAATTCGTCATTCCGTACGATTTTCGTGTCTGCAACATCCTTCAAACGTATTTGCGTAACGTTTGACTCTGAATTTCTCACAATTCTGATGAACTATTCGCGAATGTAAATTGTTCGGAAGTTGATCGATCCCGGTGCGACGCTGCCGCTTCGTATAACTAAATAAATATCAATAAAATATTTTGAACATATAAATAAGTAATAACATTGTCGTTAATGACCATTATAAYATATTGTATATGACTACCTATATATAATAATATTTATATATCTATGATTTTTTCCCYTCAGCTCATCTCAAAACTCAGCTTGAAGAGTACTCGGAAAACTATCCAAAAATTAAAATCGTCCGCGCCAAAAAAAGAGAAGGACTTATACGAGCCAGGCTGATGGGTGCGAGGTACGCATCCGCACCCGTTCTCACATATCTCGACTCGCATTGCGAGTGTACCGAAGGTAAGTCCCGTCGACATCGGAAAAAATAAAATAATATAAAACGATGTTAGACGACGTCTTATATATATATATACTTATATATTTCATTTCGTCTCGGATACTTGCGGATTTTCGAAATGGCAATTTACGCGAGAATTTAGTGGTCAATAACAAAACGCGCGCGACAATCTCAGCCCGAAAATCTGTGCCAGAAACAATAAATTTCAATATCATCGCTTGATGTTCATCATATTATTATTATCCCGTACCGTCCGGAGAATATAACGCAGCCGGCAGACGTAATAATCATTATTCGTCTGAATTGTTTCGAAATCCGTTCGTACCCGTCGCATGTTATGTCGTTTAATGTATATTTATGTATACTATATATATATATAGTCCGCACACGACCGTTGTTGCTTTTCATCATAACACATACCTCCATATATGATATAAAGTAAATGGGCTTTTATTATTTTTTTTATTTGGAATCGCTTTTACACTTATTCGAGGTCTTGTCGTGTGTGGTATTGTGAATGGCATATTATTTGGCAACAGCTTTGCTAACGTTTCCATATATTTATAATATAGATAGTATATATATATATATATATATATATATATACCATCAGGCGCGGCTTAACGTCTTCGCGGTCACTTCGATTTATTCGTTTAACCACGGCTTATTTTTATTGTTTTTTTACATCTCATCAATATTTTTTTCTTTTCTGTCGGCCGAATAACTTTTTGATCAGTTTCAGAAATTATATCAATAATTCTATATTTAATTCCAAGTTCGCCAATTCTCATACCAATGGTCCATTGTATTCTGTTAATGAGCTTTAACCTTTGAATTCATAAATACAAAATAATGTATTTTATACTTTTATCTTCACACTTTCCATTAAAATATAAAATACCACTATATAGTATATATATCGTTTCATTTCGAATAACATTTTGTTGATATTAAAAATTTTTTAATGTAGGTACTAATATTTGCACATAGTTAAAGTTGGTAATTTTATCAACTGTAATATAGTAATTGCGTAGGTAGGTATTAGTGTTTTTTTACAAACTTGTTTAACAGGAATTGAAAAACTTCTCCCCTTATATTAGTGTGCAAAGTATTTTTTTAATTTAATTTAATAGCGCCCGGTAAGTTCAAAATATAACAATAGGATTAACTATTCCACTAAAAATCAACGTTACTTTAACTATCGATATTGTTCTGAAATATGAGGTTATACATTTGGGGAAAAAAAAATATTCAATATAATACATTAAATATGCCTAAAATGCAACATTTTGCACTCGACATATTAAACTTGATTTTCCCGTAATATTAAATTTTATCAACTGTCATAATATTATAAAGCACAACCCCATCATTGGGTATATCAGTCCATCGAAATATTTCACACTCCCGTCTGGTGGTATATAATTATAATAGCGAGTTATGGTGCATATTGTAACAATTTAGTGTTATACTAACAGATTATATAGTCAAAACTATATAATATCCGTATACGTTCTCGTGCGATTGAAGCGTGCAATGGTTTGTGACGACTTTGGTGGCTATTGTTGTTTTTATTTCTCAGGATGGCTTGAGCCATTGTTGGATCGGATTGCTCGAGAAGCGTCGACCGTCGTGTGTCCGGTAATCGACGTAATCGATGACTCTACGCTGGAGTTTCATTACAGAGACGCTGGTGGCGTGAACGTCGGAGGATTCGATTGGAACTTGCAGGTATGAACTTACCTAATTATTTATTAAGTAAAAAAAAAAAAAACAAAAAACATAGTTACGTCAAAAGATAATAGATGTATATTATTATGATTTCCATTTACTACGTGCACGTAGTATAGAAGTCGAGAGTCAAGACGGACTATGAATTACTACGACCACTCGACCGTGGTTGATGTTTTTTTATGGCATATTATAATACATACAGTATGTATTATTATTATTATTATTATGTTATGTACATAAAACGGAATAAAGCTATTGTAAGCGACCCTTTCCCTCCCACCGTTTATACCCTGTATAAATATTCGCTTAGCTTTGCGGATATTTCGTCTTCTGGAAAAAAAAATATAAAAAAATTGTCTTTGTTCCTTTAAGCGCGCGCCGCGTTAATTAAAATCAAATAGGACCTTTTTTAAGCACCTAATTTCAAATACGGGTTTATTATGGGAAATCCTCTAGAGTCTTTTGAAACGCGAAGTCCATTATATTAAGTATAGGTTTACACGTTTAAAACTGACTATGCTCGTAATGTAACTAATCCACGAGTATATGATATATATATATATATATTATATAGGTTTAATATAATGTATATATGTTGTCTTGATTCGATTGACAGGCTTAACKTATCAAATATATGCACGTTGACAGTTTTTAAACAATAATTGGAAGACGTAGTCTATTAATTTAATTAAAGTCTGAAATCTTATATCGAATATAAAATATACTGCGTTGCATCACTGTTGTCCGATGACGTCAATATTTTGTGCATTATTTAGAAAACGTTCGAATACTATTTAATATATTCTATTATTAGATATATATTACATACGTGGCCAAAGTATATATAATTATTTGGCACAGTAATAACGATAATTTCGTAATTCCGATACTGGGCGGATTATTTACATATACTATTAAAAAAATCAACCTGTGTTTAGTTGCGAATATTTTTAATCGGAGAATATACAATTTGTATAAATTAATTGAAATTCTGTAAATTTGGAGAAAAATGTTAGCAGAATATTATATAATACACTTATTATAAGTAAACGAATGAACATAGAATATTGTCGTAAAACATTATTACGTTTCGTCGACTCCATAACGAAAAAAAAACAAAGTCCAACAAGGTGGAAAATCGAATCTTCTGATGTAAAATTACGTTAGCCAAACAATTTTTTTTTCACATAGAATGTTAATGCACAACAAAAATAAAGAATAATGTACGTCTATACGGCGTGGAATCACTAAAAAAAAGTAATATACGAGTAAATTTCCAACTATTTTCAACTTATATATTATACGCTTACCCAGTTGATATGATTTTCTGTTAAAGTATAAAATTCATCGGAAACCTGTTTCCAGCCAATACGCCTAAAAAATATTTACTAGTATTTAACCGATTATTATTAATATGTGTGTTTATATTAAAGTGTTCAGGTAGGTACTAGGGTCGAATATATCGTTTAAGATATCACACGTGATATATATTGCCGACAAATTATTGCCATCGACGGTGCCTTCGCCGCTAATACCGGTCTGACCAGACGCGAAATTTCGGATATAATTATATGCGTGTGGTCATGAACAAAAACGGCTTATTTGAATAAAATAATAATATGAATCACCATCATTGGCATAAATTAAAGGAAATTCGGCAAACAATATTGCAAACCAGTTGTATTAGAATTCAGATAATAATCGTACGATGCAAAGCCGTTAAATAAATAAGACCGTGGTTATTGTATCATCACAGCAGCATCTGTTAAAAATTATTTATCCAAATGACAGTCGTCGATTGAACCTATATATAGGGTATTCTAAATCTTAGTCGTCATGTAAAGATATGTTACGCTAAAACTCTGACCATTCCTGTATAGTGGTTAATGATCTCGAATGATTCGCGTGCGGAAAACGGGTAATTCCCTCGAGTTACATCATCGTCTTAATTGCAAACCCTCAAAACTGTGCTCGTTTAGTATGATCGTATTCGTATAGTAATTAATTTACGCCAAATACATCTATATACCACATTCGCGTCAGGTTTTTTCGGTTCGGGGCCCAGTCGAGTCGGTCGGTCAGGCTCAAAAATATCCTAATATATTTTATAGAGATATTTGAGATATACTTTACGTATGTGTATATATTTTGTATACTACGAGGTGTATGTACATATATATGTACATATAGGCATAAACTCGACGCCAATGTTTGGCAAACAAATTCGTCGCTAACGTTTTTGTCGTAGGTACTCTGCGCTGCGGGATACCTGATAACGTGGACCGCGAATGATAATTATTATCCTGGTAGTTCCGGGCGATATATATATATACACCTATATGATGAGGTTTTTCGGGACCAGAACACACACAAATCGCCTGCCGCGCGCGCGTTAAACATCGTCCTGGCAACCACCGACGGACCGACGTACACGTGGGCGTGTATACCGCGTGTTCGTAATATAGTGCAGTGTGTATGTTGTTCTGGTTTTTTTCAACTCCACCGATACTGAGATAGTGTACAAAACTCAAACGTATACTGTTACGGTTACGCCACAATCAAGTATTATTCATTACGCTTGGTAGGTACATATTATATTATATTGTACTGCATTTAGATGATCGATTTCATAAAACTATCATTTTTAGAATATTATAAACCTCCTCAAATTTCCTAAGACATTAAAAAATAGATTAACTATACAGTACAATTTTATAYCTTACACTGTTAGGTACACACTGCGGATATAAGTTTTGCTTTGTATTTTAATTCACTAAACTTTCAATAGGATTGGGTAGCCAATTCTAAATTCTCATCGTCAAAAAATCTTTTTCTGGCATTTTAAATCATCTCTTCAGCGCCGCAGTTTCCTTAATTCACTGCGTTAACATTTACAATAATTTGCTTCGAAACTATACGAACTCAAAAATTATTTAGCCAAACGATAATTATTATTGAATAATATATTTCATATTATGTTTCAGCATCATATAGTATGTTTATCTTGATACAAGCTGGATTAACTAAATAATTTGTGACTTGGTGAGTGCTTAGCCCTCTTGCATCTCCCCCCCCCACCCCCACGCATATATGTGCCTCGTCGATGGTCATAAATAACTGTGCTAGTCTGGTTATAGGAGTACAGCAGACGATCATTTGACGCATTTCGACGTCATGATTGCGGTGTGGTAACAACACAATACTAACTATTGTTTAGACGGAATTTAGTCGTACGCAATATAGTAAACAGATTGTCGGTTTAAGTATGATTTTTCTCTACTGCATTCGCTTAATCGAAGTCACGTCCATTTTCGTTGCATGAAATATCGTTTTCTCATAATTTCTGTCTTTTTGGTTTGTTTTATTATGTTCCTCTAACTATCGCAACTCCGGTCGATACCGCTAACATTACAACCGTTCGACACCCAATCTTATATTTTCTTAATATTCAAAAATATTGATCCACATGGCAAAGGTTTATCCCGCATTTAAATTAAAAATGATGATTTATATAAAATAAACATAATCAAGCATTTTATTTTATTGTACAATTTAAAGAGATTTTATAATAATTGCACACAGAAGTACACATATATATAGACACCGCAAATCCGACTTAAGGATGCGATGTATGTTTAATACGCGCGTGGTCAGTTAACGCGGTGACCGTCCCTTTTTGTATTAACATTCATGTTATTATGGGTATTATATATAGAGGAACCCATAATATTGGTATAATTAGTGCAAGTAATTATATTATTGTGTGTCGAGTTGTGGCAAATCCAACTGTCGAACAAAGTTATGCAGAAAAAAACAAAACGTCACGTTGACAGGTTGGCGACGATGACGACTACATAGTAGTGATTTATAGGTACTCATTTGCTTATTTCGTGTTTGTTTTTATTACGCACAAACAAACCATACGAAACAAAATAAGTGTGTTTAGGTACCCTTTCACTTCGGTTTATTACTACAACAGTGTACGCTGCTATAGAATCAAAATTAAAAACGCAAAAATTGAACTCAGCATTTCTATTCAAAAGCCAAGTTTATTGTGTTATATGCTCTCTATATAAATATGACGTTCGTGTGTACGTATAACATATAAGTATATTATATTTATAGTAATAATACCAATCCCGGTCCATCGAAACAATCCCTAGAGCTTTTATAATAACGACCAGAGYTCTCGAAACGACTGTACCGGTGTGGTAGAAATTAAAATTCGTCTCTGCTTGTATATTTTTAATTTAATATATCGTATGTACATACGAACGTCATATTTATATAG